TTTTTTTCAGAAACATTGTGTTCAATGATAAAGCTTAGCATACCCCAGCACCAGGAATGGTGCGGAGTTGCAGCAGCAGGGACAGGCAGGTGACCCCCACAGAGCCTCACATGGTAAAGAGGATATGGAAGGTGACCATTAAACAGAACAGCCCCATGGCCTTAGACAGGGCAAAGCCCAGAACGGCATAGGAGAAGAGCTGCTGCTTGAGAGACGGGTTCCTGGCATAGCCAATGACCAAGCTGCCAAACACCGTTCCAATGCCAGTCCCTGAACCAGCCACACCAACTGTGTCTGCCCCAGCACCAATCAACTTGGCTGCTGTGCCAACGTTCCGGGAGACAACACTGGTCTAGAACTCCTGTTTGGCCACCTAAAGTGGGGAGCTGCTGTAGGAAGGCTGTTTAGATGAATTCTCTGGGCTATTCAAGAAGGAGGCAGATACAGGCCTAATGAGACCTCTAGTAAAACAGCAGATCAGAGCTGGAGAAATAAGTAATGCCCCCATGGTCTGCATTTTTTCACTCTCCCAACTTCAGCCCTTGGTCTCGCCCTGTTCTTCTTAAAGGGAGCCCGTGGAAGGGTCTGATCGCTCAAGTCTTTATCTCCAAGTACTGGCCAGGCCTTCTCTTCTCTTTGCCCCTATTATCACCTGGCCTCCTGTCTCTGCTCCAGAGATGACTGATTTCCTGAAGGAAAATTAATTCACACTAAGATGTAAAAGACTGACAGCAATGTAGTATAACCTATTGACGTATACCTCCCATGGGATATTTGCCTGTTAACTAAATCTCTTCGGGGAGAAATTTCCAGCCTCATATCAAGCCTGCAAGGATAATATTCCAGTAAACTTGCATCTGGTATCTTTAAATACTAAGCTGAACCTTCCCCAATCCCTCTCTCAAGCACAGTTAAACCTTATTTATTTTACGTTTGTATATACCTCTATTTTAAAACTTGCTACAGTGTTGGAAATATTATCTAGTGATTGTCTTTCCACTTCCAACCCCAACTAGAATACGGTCAAGGCAGAAACTAAGTCTTATTTTTTATCCCAGCTTGTAGTGCTCACTGAATATCTGGCTGATAAATAATGGAAGACTTCAACTCTATCTGTAATCAGAAACAGAATTATAGGAAAACATACTACTTTGGAGGTTAACAGATAATTCTTCCCTTTATTTCTCCTAAAGAGGATATTGTCTTAAAATATATTACTCCTAAAGAAATTTGTCTAAAAATCTCCAACAGGGCCGGGTGTGGTGGCTCATGCTTGTAATCCCAGCCCTTTGGGAGGCTGAGGCAGGCGGATCATGAGGTCAGGAGATGGAGACCACGGTGAAACCCCATCTCTACTAAAAATACAAAAAATTAGCCAGGCGTGCTGGTGGGTACCTGTAGTCCCAGCTACTTGGGAGGCTGAGGCAGGAAAACAGTGTGAACCCGGGAGGTGGAGCTTGCAGTGAGCAGAGATCGCACCACTGTGCTCCAGTCTGGGCGACAGAGCGACACTCCATCTCAAAAAAACAAAAAAAATCTCCAAAAGGTTAGACTGCTAATAGTTTCTGAATGTGCACATAGTTGCAGCCTCCAAAAACTGTCATCAATTTCACATATCAGCACTGACTATGGGTACTTTATTTTCTGAAACACATGTTGAGACATATCTTCTGAAAAGAGGACCAAATAAAGACTATCTATCCCAGAAAATATAATACAACATATATATTAATATAGATCTATATGGATAGATACATTTATCGGAATAAGTACTAAACTTTTAATAATATAGCTTCACCAATTTAACCCTTACCAGAGACACCACAGGACATGAGAAAAGGTTTAGTAATGTCACTCAAAAAGTTCAAGGGCTGACACAGCCATTCAAAGAAAACCAAGGAGAAGTAATAGCATCGGCATTCAAAAGAAGGGTGTAGCCTCATGCAGTCGTGAATAGCATTTTATTGCTTTATCAAGTGAAACACTGAGAGATCAATGAAACATTTCAAACTCTTATTAATTCTGTTCATAAAGGCTGAGTTTCCAGGATCTTATATAACCTAGCTTTATGATTTAACAGCAAGAATAAAGGAATAGCACACACTCTTTCTCCCTTCTCAAAAAACACATATTAATACTTTCTTAATGAAAAAAGTACAACCCTTAGTGTGGTTGACACAAAAGTCCACATTCTACTCATTGACTGTTGCAACATTTTCATGGTATTCCTTCCAGGCTGGCTCGGGGCCTTGGTGAGAGGCACCATTGGCAACCTGTTTCAGATTTCACTTAAACAGAGTTAGGAACCCTTTGCCAGCCCTTGCCAGGGAGGAGAGCCAATCACTGATCAAAGGAGTCAGAGGGGTCACTCCATGACAACAAAGGGTGTGTGGATGCCGTCAGGGCCAGTGGGGCCAACACCCCTCCCTAACTCACAGTAGAGGCTGGGTAAAGTCACGTTGCACTTCCACTCCAGATAAAAGACAACACTGAGAAGGTCAAAAAGCCATGTTTAAAACTCAAGGACCTGTGTGTGCAAAACACAAGAGTGTGAAGAGCCTAAAGTGTGTCTCTAGAATCTCAGACAGACCTCTTGTGTGCAGGGTCAATCCTGTCCCTGCAGTCAGTTTTGAGAAGACCACTGCAGTTGGGAAGCTAAGCTCAGGAAGGTCAGGCTTTGTCTGCTATTGATTGTTTAAACAAACTGACCCTTAGGGACTGAGCATTCAACAAATTTGCTGAGCACCTACTGATGTGTTAGGGACTTGGCCAGAAATTGTAGACCCTGAGATGAATCAGGCTTTGTCCCTACCTTAAAAATCCCATGCACTAGTAGGGGATCTATATAAGCAAACAGATTTCACTGTGCAAAGCATATTCTGGGAGGGGACAGAGGGGAGTATGAATAAAAGTTCCATGGGAACAAAGAAAGAAAGAGTAATGGAAGCCATCCAGCTAACCCAGGTGTAGATTGTATCTTGCAGGACTTTTCCTCATGGATGCTAGCATTAAGAAGGTGCTACTACATTTGGCAAAAACAAGATATTGATGCTAGGTACTCTAAGTACTGGGAGAAGCATGAAAACTAGAACTGATGCATAGGAGCTACAAGGTAACTAAGCTACCTTTAAGTATTGTACTAACTGAAGTGCTGCTTCCAGTCTAACACAAGCCAGATCCCACCCAAGGAGACCACATTACATCATCATATAGATCTCTGGGTTTTTCAATAAAATGGGTCAAATTTCCAGTCTCAGTTCCTTGGTCTTGGTCTCATTTACAAAAGAGGTACTTGACCTATTTCTAATTTTTTTTTTTTTTTGAGATGAAATCTTACTCTGTCACCCAGGCTGGAGTGCAGTGGCATGATCTCAGCTCACTGCAACCTCTGCCTCCTAGGTTCAAGCCATTCTCCTGTCTCAGCCCCCTAAGTAGCTGAGATTATAGGCACATGCCACCATGCCCGGCTAATCTTTGTATTTTTAGTAGAGATGGGGTTTCACCATGTTGGTCAGGCTAGTCTCAAACTCCTGACCTTGTGATCTGCCCACCTCGGCTTCCCAAAGTGCTGGGATTACACGCATGAGCCACTGCGCCCACTGTCTACTAATTATTTTAACATATTTACTTCAACAGTATCAATGAGACTGGCCTGCAAAACAGGCACTTAATTCTTCCTATAATGACTTCCAGTGATGCCGATGAGTAAGCTATACTTTGTTTTTTCACAGCCAACAAGTGCCTCAAAGCATCTGGGGTTTTTTGTTTGTTTGTTTGTTTTTCTTAAGATGGAGTTTCACTCTTGTTGCCCAGGCTGGAGTGCAGTGGTGCAGTCTCGGCTGACTGCAACCTCTGCCTCCCAGGGTCAAGTGATTATCCTGCCTCAGCCTCCCATGTAGCTGGGATTACAGGCACCCACGACCATGCCCAGCTAATTTTTGTATTTTTAGTAGAGACAGAGTTTCACCATGTTGGCCAGGCTGGTCTCCAACTCCTGACGTCAGGTGGTCTGCCCGCTTCGGCCTCCCAAAGTCATGGGATTATAGGTGTGAGCCACCACACCCAGCCATCAAAGCATCTTATAAATTATAAATTAAAATCCCAGAACAATATACTTCACTATCAACAGATAAGAAAATGAGATGTTAGAGAAGTTAATCGGGAACAAGATTCCAAGATGTCAAGGTTTCATGATAATCCAAAGTCCTCTGATAACAGAGTTTGGTCTTTTCCTTTTCTGCTAAAGTTCTCAGATGTTTGTAGCTATTTTTCAGCCAGTGACTTAGCTTTCCTCGCTGGGTTATAAATTCTATAAAGTTTCACTCAGCTCAGATCCTTGAAGACATTCTGGAAAAGAGGAGGGAGGGCCTCTGGATTCTGGCTCTTTTTGTACCACTTACCTTCCAGCTGTTCATCTCAGGAAAAGCACTTTGCCGACCATGCCTTCAGGTTCCTCATTGGAATGGATTTATGCCCCCCTCTGTCCCTATCATTTTTCACATCTATAATTGGGCTCCTTTTACTGCTACACGCTGCCCCACATACCTTGTTGACTCTGAAAGGACATTCTTTTGTTTCTGATTCAGGAAATTTCTTCATCCACTTGCCAACAAAGTAGGCGGCATTAACCACAAGGATTTTGGTCTGGTCGTTCACATTGTTGTCAGTTAAAATGTTCTCAAAGTGGCCTGCAACAATTTTAGGAAAACACAAGTCGCAGAATTATTCTTCCAAACTACATCTGAAATTCACATGCATATTCGCTGAGTATTTACCACTTCATGAAGTCACACCATGTAAGACCTGGTAGTTCCAACCATCACATTTCAGAAGGACTCTTTTCTCTCCTTCTACCTTGACACAACCAGATCTACCAAAGAGGTTAGGCGAGGAGAATGAAGGAGGGGGAAGAAAGGAAGAGAAATAAGAAGGAAAACACAGCTACCACTCTGAATGCCTATTCTGTGTCAGGCAGTACACAAGCTATTTGATACACATGATATATATTTCTTCCTGCTTTACGAATGAGGAAGATGAGACTCAGGGATGATAACTCACTTTCCAAGGATGATATATAAACGAGGGTGGATTCAGGATTCAAAGCCAGCTCTTTCTGACTCCAAAGCCTGTGCTCTTGAATGAAAATACATAATCACTTTCTTAATGCCAGAATTTCACACATATTATCTCACTCTTTTCACAATCATCCTATAAGGCAAAGATCATTATCTCCATTTTACAGTGCAGTAAACAGAGGCTCAGAGAGGCCAAGAAACTGTTCTAGTTTTCTCAGCTGGAAAGCATGTCTGAAGGTTCTGGAGCTGTTCTAGTTTCCTCAGCTGGAAAGCATGTCTGAAGGTTCTGGAGCTGTTCTAGTTTCCTCAGCTGGAAAGGATGTCTGAAGGTTCTCCCCTTCACCCCACAGCTCTCCAACCACTCCCTCAATTGCACTCCTTGCAGACAGGCTGATTGCCTCAAGGTCAACTGTAATCACCATGGGGCTCAATCACAATTGCAATTATTACAAAGCTAAATCTCAACAGCCAAAACAATTCAAGGGAAGTGATCCCTTAGTAAAAAGAACTCCTCACATTTGAATAGCCCACAGCTGTTTTTTTGTTTTGTTTTTGTTTTTGTTTTTGTTTTTGAGACGAGTCTTGCTCTGTCGCCCAGGCTGGAGTGCAGTGGCCGGATCTCGGCTCACTGCAAACTCTGCCTCCCAGGTTTATGCCATTCTCCTGCCTCAGTCTCCCAAGTAGCTGGGACTATAGACGCCCGCCACCTCGCCCGGCTAGTTTTTTGCATTTTTTAGTAGAGATGGGGCTTCACCGTGTTAGCCAGGATGGTCTCCATCTCCTGACCTCATGATCTGCCTGCCTTGGCCTCCCAAAGTGCTGGGATTACAGGCGTGAGCCACTGCACCCAGCCTCGCCCACAGGTTTTTTATAAAGGGTTTTCATTTACCTAATCTCCAATTTTCAGACCAATGTTAAGGGCCCACTTCACAGGCCTGTGACCCCTGTGTGAAGGGCCCTGCTCTTGGTTTAATGTTCAGCTGTCACCATCTCAAAATTCTTAATAAATGTTTAAACAAGAGGCCCAGCAATTTTACTTTTGCCCTGGACCACGCAAATTATGTAACTGGTCCTGCCAACGCTATATAATACGTTGAATATATATTGTGTTACTGAAGAAACCTGAAGAACAAAGAAGCATGGGAGCCGGTAACCGACAGAGCTTCAACTTCAATCCTGAGCCTCCTATTTCAAATTCAGAGGTCTTTTCATGGCTGGATGCGGTGGCTCACACCTGTAATCTCAGCACTTTGGGAGGCTGAGGCGGGCGGATCACCTGAGGTCAGGAGTTTGAGACCAGCCTGGCCAACAGGGTGAAACCCTGTCTCTACTAAAAATAGAAAAATTAGCTGGGCATGGTAGCACGCACCTGTAGTCCCAGCTATTCAGGAGGCTGAGACAGGAGAACCCCTTGAACCTGCGAGGTGGAGGTTACAGTAAGCCAAGATCGTGCCACTGCACTTCAGCCTGGGCGACAGAGCAACATTCTATCTCAAAAAAAAAAAAAAAAAGAAAAGAAAAGAAAGGCCAGGCCCAGTGGCTCATGCCTGTAATCCCAGCACTTTGGGAGGCCAAGGTGGGCGGATCACGATGTCAGGAGATCGAGACCATCCTGGCTAACACAGTGAAACCCCGTCTCTACTAAAAATACAAAAAATTAGCTGGGCACAGTGGCGGGCGCCTGTAGTCCCAGCTACTCAGGAGACTCAGGCAGGAGAATGGCGTGAACCCAGGAGACGGAGCTTGCAGTGAGCCAAGATGGTGCTACTGCACTCCAACCTGGGCGACAGAGCGAGACAGGAAGGAAGGGAGGGAGGGAGGGAGGGAGGGAAGGACGGGCGGGCATTCACAGCAACCTGGATGGAATTGAAGACCATTATTCTCTTTGTTTTGTTGTTGTTGTTGCTTTCTGGGAGACGCGGTTTCTCTCTTCTCACCCAAGCTGGAGTGCAATGGCACGATCTCAGCTCATTGCAACCTCCGCCTCCCAGGTGCAAGTGATTATCCTGCCTCAGCCTCCCGAGTAGCTGAGACTACAGGTGCGTGCCACCATGCCCAGCTAATTTTTGTATTTTTAGTAGAGATGGGGTTTCACCATGTTGGCCAGACTGGTCCTGAGCTCCTGACCTCAGGTGGATCCACCTGCCTCGGCCTCCCAAAGTGCTGGGATTATGGCATGAGCCACCAAGCCTGGCCTGAAGGCCATTATTCTAAGTGAAGTAACTTAGGAATGGAAAAACCAAACATTGTATGTTCTCATTTATAAGTGGGAGCTAAGCTATGAGGATGCAAAGGCACAATAATGACATAATGGACTTTGTGGGGTGGGGGAAGAGTGGAAGGAGGTGAGGGATAGAAGGCTACACATTGCATAAAGTGTACACTGCTTGGGTGATGGGTGCACCAAAATCTCAGAAGTAACCACTAAAGAGCTTATCCATGTAACCAAAAACCACCTGTTCCCCAAAACCTATTGAAATAAATTACAATAATATAATACAATTTAAAAAATTAAATCAGGTAACATGTGCCCCATTTTATAGTTCTGTAAATTGAAGCTTTGTGTCCAAATATCAGTTAGAAGTACCAGTGTCTGGATTTGAACCTAGTTGCTGAATGACTCCAGAAACCCTGTTCTTTCCATGTTCTCATCCTGTAGTTACTGTCCCGTTAGAACTTCCTCAGTCAGTACAGAGAGAGAGCAGCTGGGGGCGCCATTCTCACAGGAAGTGGGTCTCCCTTACCCCGGAAGTGTATCCCTCCCTAGACAGCAGCGACTGCCTAGGCTTTATTCTTTGATCGCTAGATTCGGCCACCCAACGGGTCGCTCCAGATGCAATTATAAATATATTCACTGGGAAGGGGGACAAAGTCACTGACTTGCCCTCAAAATCATCATAACCCTAATTCTTTTCCAGCAGGGAAGACAACTCACTGGGAATTTTAAGGGAGGAACGAGGAGTCTGACGAGGGAGACGCCTAGAAGAAGCACTGAGCCGGAGAAAGAACCGGTTAGGAGCTTCTTGGACCCTGGGGCTATCAGAGGAGCGACCAGCATGGGGAGCTGCGGCACCGCGGACAGGCTGACGCTACAGTTTGGTTTGGTTTGGTTTTCTTTTTTTTTCTTTTTCTTTTCTTTTTTTTTTTTTTTAAGACGGAGTCTCGCTCTGTCGCCCCTGCGCGATCTCTGCTCACTGCAAGCTCCGCCTCCCGGGTTCCCGCCATTCTCCTGCCTCAGCCTCCCGAATAGCTGGGACTACAGGCGCCCGCCACCAAGCCCAGCTAATTTTTTGTATTTTTAGTAGAGACGGGGTTTCACTGTGTTAGCCAGGATGGTCTCGATCTCCTGACGTCGTGATCCGCCCACCTTGGCCTCCCAAAGGGCTGGGATTACAGGCGTGAGCCACCGTGCCCAGCCGGTTTGTTTTTCTTATACATATGTTGCCTATGTCCCTTTTTCCTTAACAAATTTGTAAAATTTGTCAGCTGAAAGGGGCCTCGGGGATCATGAAGTTATAATCCAATTCCTCTATTTCCGGACTGAAAAATGGCCTCACGATTGACCCAAAGTCACACTTTGTTCGAGGCACAGCTAGGATTCCACTAGGGCCTGTGACAGCTCGTCAGAGAGCAAGACAAAGTAGACTAACACTGAAGCACCAACAGTTTCTACCAAGTGATGACATGATACAAGAAATGCTCAGAAATCCAAGTTGTTTACATGTCTGGAAGGGAAAGAATTTAGCTTGTGTAGTAAAAATATCCAGAGAATCCTCCAGATGTTTTTTTATGCCTGGAGCAAGCATTTATGAGATGGAAGGCCCTGTTTACTTGGTGATTGATAGCAGAACAATTAAAGGGTACTTGCCTTCTGTGAGATCCTTAATTGAGTTGTTGATCTGACCTTTCGTTTCTTCCAATTTATCTTTGAAGTCAACAGTTTCCAATTCCTTTGCATAGGGTCTCTTCGTAGAGCTGATGAACTCCTGAAAAACATGCAGTTCATAAAATCAGAGTCTGTAGTCAAGCTATTGCATTGTTATTCTCTTCTAACAAAAGGATTATTAAATATCAACGGCTATATGTACGCTTTCAAAATTGGTAACACTATATGAATTGAAACCTCATGTAGAAGTCAGTGAAATTCTTTGTATTGAATGTTTCTTTTTTTCCAATTATAAGACAATTTCAATTATTAAAAGCATCTGTCAGTTTAATATTAGCTTTGAAGAAAACAAAAGAAACACTATGTTAAATATACCCAATTCTCTTACGGGTTCTAATTTCAGAAACATGAAAATGTTGTATGTCTACAGATATATATATATTAGAATATAGGAAATGTATAGAAAAGAGAATTATGAACAGAAAACTCTTGTCCTTGCTGAACTAAATAAATATCCTGTAGACTGTTGCTACTCAAACTGTGGTCCAAGGTGGTGTACAACATCACCTGAGACCTTGTTAGAAGTGAAGAATCTCAGACCCCACCCCAGACATACTGAATCAGAATGCATTTTAACAAAACTTCCAGGTATGCCATCTGCAAATTAAGGTTGGAAACACAGTGCTGTAGAGAACATAGCAGGAGTTATTACTCTAATGCTTATTTAAAATGTGCAACCCTAAACCCCATTCCCACCGTGACAATCAGAAGTACCTGGGTGTTAAAAGGGCCTCAAGAACTTGCCCTTTTAACACCCGGATAGTTCTGAAGCGAGAGATCCTCCACAGACCACACTTGTTTGGACCTTTAGTAAATTTGCAGATGCTGTGCACCTAGCAGGAGCAATGGAAAGCAGTCTTAAAAAATCTTTTGTAATGAGCCAAGATCATGCCACTGCACCCCAGCCTGGGCAACAGAGCAAGACTCCATCTCAAAGGAAAAAAAAAAAAAAAACTTTACAACTCCTAGTCTGGTTAAGATCATTCCAGATGTTGCATGGAAGTTCAACCAAACTAAATATAACTTGATTCAATGTTATGTCAGTTCACTTCCAAGCACAGGGCTTCTTGAATTTCTTCAGAGCAGCTTCAGCCTTAGCCTCAGTTAATTGCAAATCAACCTTGGGACTGACTGTCACCATTGACGGAGAGAACCAATCTCACCTGAAAACATTAGAAAGCCTCAGCCAGATGAAGGAGGGCCTCCATTGTCCTCACTGCCAGCAATAAAAATGTGTTGTCTCCTTAATGATCATTTAGGGAGCTTCTAGAAAATGTGTATGCTCAGGTTTCAACTCACATCTCAGTGTTTTTTTTTTAATGCTTCTGATTATTGTTGGAATAAAAATGGTTGTGTATATGTATCTTTAAGCAACAAAAAATATACTCAAAATATCTAGTAACCCATGTCCTCAAAAGATCTTAACCACAAAAATACCTACTGCAGAAAGTTGCAAAATCATGGTAAAATATTTAAAAGCTGGTAGTCTGGCTTTTAGATTTGGAAAGCTTGAAATTCTGACCATCCGAACAGGAACTAAATCAACTCTATGTTACTGAAGTACAGAGGGAACCTCCATGTAGTCTGGAATACTGTCTGTGTGTTTCAAATACAGATTTTTAAAATATTACAACATTGGGTACCATAGTGTTCTTTGTACGATTCCTTAGAGCAATGGCTAAATTTAAATAACCAGAACTGCCTGTGGAGATCCCCATCTGACCAGCCAAGCACAACAAAACTAATTTGTAACTGATGAAAATTGTGAATTCATAGTTATTATTTTTCTTACTGATTTTGAGAAACATCAGAACTTTGTGCGCATAACAAATGAGGTGGAGAGCTTAAAACATTGTTCAAGGCCATATGCCCTGCTCTTTAAGGAGAAAGAAGTTTAAATCATGAGCTGTCTTACACTCCTTGTCTATGGAACTACATTTATTAGAGAGTTAATTACTCTGTTCTCCATTCTCTCAAAGGAAGCTAAAAGGAGGGTAAGATTTATTTGAGAGGGAAAAGGAAAGCCCATAAGCTTCTCTATATTTTGAGTTAGAAGATGTGACTGCAATTGACTCCCACTGTACTCCTAACCTCTCCACTAGGATTTATTTATTTTAAGCTTCAAATCACAAGTGAACCTCCTAGAAATGAATTTCACTGAAAAAAAGTTGTAGGTCTAACAGGATGAAAATACCACCCCTTGTAAAAAGTTAAGTCTTGCTACTTGCTTTAAACAACTTACTGTAGAAAGATTCAGAGATTTGTCTATGTAGAGCCGCTTGATTAGTTTCAGTGAGTAAAAGGAACTAAGTTTGTTGACATCCGATGTTACTGTTTGAAATCCAAAGGGCACGTCTTTGACATTTTCAAAATGAAGAACCTGTTAAGAGAAAAATCCATTACCTGAAAAGCATTACCTCTGAATGGTGCTTCACTGAAGTGGACACGTGATAATGACCAACGTCCTTGGGCATACAGAATCCTCCTGCCCAGTTCCCATAAGGCAAGACTCCTCAACCTCAGTGTTACTGACATCCAGGCTGAATGAGTCTTTGTGGGACTATCCTGGGTACTGCAGGAAGTTTAGCAGCATCTCTGACCTACTAGATGCCAGAGGCATCCTTCCCCTATTTGTGACAACCCAAAATGTCTCTAGACATTGCCAGATGTCCCCAGAGTGGGAAGGGGAGGACAAGTTGTCCCCACTGAGAAACAGTACCATAAAGGTACTCTTCCAAATCAACTATCGAGAACATTTGTCCTTTCTTCAAAGTGACGCCCTTCATACTCACACAGGAAGATTTCCAAACTTGGAGAATGGTGAAGCTGGGTTATAATTTCTGTCCAATTTAGAGACCAGAAGAGAGAGATTAATACCAAGAGAGACCATCATCAGGCAGGAATCAGATTTCAGGACAAGTGCCTCTAGCCAGAGTCTGTCTAGTGCCTCTGGGTGGTTTAGCAAATGCCACGTAAAAGGTGTGTCGTTTCTGATGGGCAGCTACAATAAATGGTGGGCTGCCCTGGGTGGGCTAGAGTCAGACAGCCCTGCCTGTGAATCCCAGCCTTCACCAACTCTTCAGAGAATCTTCTTCAACTGTTCAGAGCCTCCTTTCCTCTCTGTAAAATGGGCCGAGAATGCCTGCTTTCCTCATTTCTTATGAGGATTACTTACATGTAAAACACCTAAAGTATTATACGGATTCAAGCTGTTAATTATTATTCTTGTAATAATATTGTAAGCTATGTAAAACCAGGATACTGTCATTTGGAGGGCTTAAATCATTGTATTTTGTTCCTAACTTTTTTTTTTGTTCCAACCAATAGTCCAGCATCTTCTCGGCCTTGCAGCACCACAACATGTAATGTCAGCATAAGATGATACCCTCCTCACTCCATAACCCATAATGGTCATGGCCTGATTCCACAACCCAGATAAGCAACGCCGCCAAACCGGCACATTGCGCCAGTGAATTACATAGCCTCAGCATTGCAGGGTCAAATGGGCTGGTCCCAGACAGTGCGTAACTCTCATGCCCAAAGACGGATGGAGGAGGCCAGGAAATTAAAGAGCCCAGGTAACTACTGCTGGGGAACCAGTTGCATGTACTGAGAAGATCTTGAGGAATTATTGAGGGACAGACCCACTACCAGGAAGTTCTCTTTCTCTGGCCTTTCTCTAATGGTAGATGAGAAATGAGGAATGGGAGATTGGGTAGGGATAGTGGAGTTGTGCAGTTCAGAGATGAGGCTTGATGAGAAAATACATCTCCTCTTCACAGTAGTGAAGCTGCTTCAAGTCCCAAGTGTAAATTCTTCATCCTGACCTAAATAACTCTTATGGGCCATACTTTCTGGGCACATATGAATACAATAAGGTGTTCCCTTTTTAAATGCTTATGAGCTAATAGGAAAGAAATTCTGTTGAACCTAGAATGATTAGCAGAAGAGTAATAATGAAATATAATTAGGAGAACATTCACTTATTATCTAAAAGTACATGAGGACTTAAAATCATCTCATTTGAAGGTCTAAGAACTTTACAAAGCTAGATAATCAACCATAGCCAGAAAGAAACCCTATAATGATACAGATGCTCCTTGATTTATGATGAGGTTATCTCAACCCGTTGTAAATTAAAAATATCATAAGTCAAAATGAAAAAAACTGTGATTACCCAGCAGATCTCCAGGTTCTCCATCACAGCCTGATGCCTGTCCCAAATGTGAGTTGCATTACCTACAAGTGAGCTTTCACATTTAAAAACAGATTAAGAAGCCTGTAATCCCAGTACTTTGGGAGGCCGAGGCAGGCAGATCACCTGAGGTCAGGAGTTCGAGACCAACCTGGCCACATGGTGAAACCCCATCTCTACTAAAAATACAAAAATCAGCTGGGCATTGTGTCAGGTGCCGGTTGTCCCACCTACTCGGAAGGCTGAGGCACAACAATCACTTGAACCTGGAGGCTGCAGTGAGCCGAGATCACACCACTGCACTCCAGCCTGGGTGAGAGAGTAGTGGGACCCTGTCTCAAAAAAAAAAAAGAAAAGATTAAGAGAGTCCTGGAATGGCACAACTCTGAATCTTGACCAATTCTGAACACAAAGTCTCCATTCCTTTTTTCCCTAGGCACTGCCTATGGGTTCTAATAACTGTATTCCCACTTAAAGTAGAAACAAGGTTTGGGGCTTACCTGTCCAATTTCATTTGCAGTGTCACCTTTAGCACCCACTTGAGCAAGTGACAGAGAGGTGGAGAGACAGATTGGAGAGAAGAGGACATTGCCTAGTGGCTCCTTTTCACATAGTTGTTTGAACAGATCAACAGCAAAAGCCGAATTTGCTAGTTGCAGGGCATCCATTGTGGGCCTGGAAGCAAGGACAAGGGAGAGGTTAATTTCTAAAGCATCTTTAACGTCTTCTCACCTGCATTCTGCCAACCTATAAGAATTCTATGTAAACAAAGTAATGATCTCAGAAGAAACAATGAACTTTCTGTAAATTCAAAAGTAAGATCAGTTGTGAGGAAACTTCCAGGCAAATGTCCGAAGGCATATGAGGTCCTCTGTGGCAGCTCTGCCTAGACTCTGCAGTCTCGGGCCTGCTTAGCCACTGTGGCCGTTGTCGGGAGCCCAGGGGTCACACTTCTTCTCCAGCATATGTCAGAAAAGTTGACAGCACTAATCAACATCAGTTGGTTTTATTTATCACATATTGTTTCCATTAGGATTTCAGTTAAACTAAAAGTTAAAATTTTTATAAAACAAAAACAGTCGAATTGCAGCAGTTTTGCATGGTTCAGTTTCATATTTAGTAAGTGTTATGGGTTGACTTGTGTCCCCAAGAAAGGTATGTTAAGTCCTAATCCCCATTACCTGCGAATGTGACCTTATGTGGAAACAGGGTATTTCCTATATCTTAACTAATACATCATTAGTTAAGATGAAGTCACACTGGAGTTAGGTGAGCCCTCATCCAATATGACTGGTGTCCTTAAAGGAATAAGAGAAGAGACACAGAAACAATACACAGAGGGCAGATGTGAAGACACAAATGTCTTCACCTGTGTGAAGGACATGCCGTATGGCAAAGGAGGCAGAGATTGGAGGGATGCTTCCACAAGCCAAAGAATGCTAAGACGTGCTGGCAACACCAGAAACCAAAAGAAAGTCATGGAACATTCTCCCCTGGAGCCTTCAGAGACAGCATGACCCTGCCGACATCGTCATTTCAAACTACTGGCCTCCTAGCCTGGGGGTGAATAAAACTTATGTTGCTTTAAGCTGCCTGGTTTGTGGTGCTTTGTGATAGAAGTGCAAGAAAACCCTTAGAGTAAGTAATGCCTTTGCAGGACCCCCAGCACATAACAATACTTATTAAACAGCAGCAGTTATTGTTTGTGTTCATAATACACATCTGTGTGTAAGACACTACCCAGAGTGTTACAAGGATCAGTGGACCTCCTCCTCCTCTAAGCTCACAGTCTCTTTGGGCAGCTATGTAGACCAATAACTAGAATACAGAGCTGCCCAAGACATGTGAGTGGTATAATCAGTAATATGGGAGTTAAAGAAAAGAGAGAACAACTTCAAAATGTGTAGCCTGGTAAAGTGGATATAGCAGCAACTAGGCATCTTGTCACATCTCAGAGCTCTTTAATTCTAACACAGCAATTTCCAAAGTGTTGTGTCTTGACTCCTGGCAGTCCCTAACACCCTTTCAGCAGGTCCATGACGTTAAAACTATTCTCATAATAATACTAAGGCATTATCATTCTCTATCTCTAATAGACAGTGGAGTTTTCCAGGGGCTATATGACAATCCTTCTATTAAGCCAAATATTAAGGAGATTTGCAAAAATGAAAAACAAGATCACTCTTCTCATATATCACTCTTCTCATATTTTTTCACTGGACATGGATGCAGCTGGAAACCATCATTCTCAGCAAACTATCACAAGAACAGAAAACCAAATACCGCATGTTCTTACTCATAGGTGAGAATTGAACAATGAGATCACTTGGACACAGGAAGGGGATCATCACACACCGGGTCCTATTGTGGGGAGGGGGCGGGGAGGGATAGCATTAGGAGATATACCTAATGTAAATGACGAGTTAATGGGTACAGCACACCAACATGGCACATGTATACATATGTAACAAACCTGCACGTTGTGCACATGTACCCTAGAACTTAAAAGTATTAAAAAAAATTGTTGGGTGCAATATACACTACTTGGGTGATGGATACATTAAAATCCTATACTTCACCACTGTACAATCCGTCAGTGTAACCAAAAACCACTTGTACCCCTAAAGCAATTGAAATTTTAAAAATTTAAATAAAAACAAATTAAATTTAATATAAATATATTAAAATATATATATTATTCATATTAGCATTTAATGGTTATATTATTTTAATAAATTAGTAAGTGAACATTTCAAAATGTGTCTGGTTTTTTTTTCTAGTTGGTAAATAATAATAGATATAATTGGCCGGGCACGGTGGCTCAAGCCTGTAATCCCAGCACTTTGGGAGGCCGAGACGGGCGGATCACGAGGTCAGGAGATCGAGACCATCCTGGCTAACACGGTGAAACCCCGTCTCTACTAAAAAATACAAAAAACTAGCCGGGCGAGGTGGCGGGCGCCTGTAGTCCCAGCTACTCGGAAGGCTGAGCCAGGAGAATGGCGTGAACCCGGGAGGCGGAGCTTGCACTGAGCTGAGATGCGGCCACTGCACTCCAGCCTGGGCGACAGAGTGAGACTCCGTCTCAAAAATAATAATAATAATAATAATAATAATAATGATAGACATAATCTACACATTTTTAAAGAAACAGTTATTTGGGGTCCTCGATAATTTTTAAGAGTGTAACGGGGTCCTCAGATTTAAAAAGCTTCACTGTTTTAATAAAGGTCTACCTACCTATTTAGTAGTTACTGATAGACCCCAAAGAGAATTAGGTAAATTCAGGCAGTCAGGGCTTCCCTTTCTGGGAGCAGAGCTGAACCACAGGGACTCCTGAGGCTCTGCCTAAGCCGTGCACTCAGGCCAGTGTTCCCATTGCAAATATACCATGAGACCCCCTGAAGTCAGGTGGGCCTCTCACTTTTCTTTAAAGCCCACAACCTTACTCCTTCTCCCCTCAGGGCAGGGGCGAGGGCTGACAGGTAACATGACACCTCAGGGAAAGGTGACTGGCATTAGGTGTATACTGAGTCAGCAGAGTATACTGAGGCAAAAATGAAAGCCTGTGGAGTGTTTCACCCAGTGTGCCCACCACTGGGAAAATATAAAGAAACTTCACGAAAGGTTTGGGAAATCTGTGGACAGACTTTCTGAATAGGAAACCTGGCTTCCTTCCGCAGCAGATTTAATATTAATAACGCCAAGTTCATCTACCAGTAAAACTCAACATGTACAAGTAATGAGTTATTTCTTCAGCAAATAGAGAAGCCTAAACCCATATCCCTGCAAGCTTCTTAACACTTCCACAAGTTGAGAGCTAATCACACTGATAATATGAAAACACACAAAGTGCTTTAACAAACACAAGTAGTTCCTCCCAGCATGTATTTATTATCCTCCAAGAGAAGCTAGAATAATTTTGTTTAGTCAATAACAAACAATATTCTAGTGATTTCCTTTGTATAGAAAAATGGTGTTTAAGATCTTAAATTGGCCGGACGCGGTGGCTCAAGCCTGTAATCCCAGCACTTTGGGAGGCCGAGACGGGCGAATCACGAGGTCAGGAGATCGAGACCATCCTGGCTAACACGGTGAAACCCAGTCTCTACTAAAAAATACAAAAAACTAGCCGGGCTAGGTGGCGGGC